GGACATATTATCCTAAGGCCTTTAGCTGAAATTTGCTATATTTGCACTCGTATCCCATGGCAACATTGCAGGGCCCCTACCTGACTCATCACCATCTTTTGCAGGTTCCGATTCCTCATCCACATCCACTTCCTCATCCTGAGTAGATTAGATCCATGGGATATTGAGCCATTGAGCTAGCTATACAATCTGGGGCCAAGATAGGCCAAGCAGCAGTAGTCGCCAACGAACTCTCTGAAGCTTCATCGTGATCATCAGAGCAAGAAGGTGAAGGGTCGCGGGAACCGCGGGAACCTGGGCAGGCGGGCGTTCTTGTAGCAAACCTATATTCCCTGGTTTGATTCAATCTGGAAAAACGCAGTTTGGGAACAGTCAGATGGCAAAGGGATGTCCGCTGAACTGTAGATACGGCGGATCGCAAGATCCCTGGGGAAGTGCCCGCGCTTCGCATGACGGCTGAAGATTGAAACCATCCGCTTGATCTTCCAAGCTTCTGTGCGCACAGTGGAGCCTAGGTGGCTTGACAGGATCCTGATTCTCAAGGTACCATCAAAGCATCAAAGGTTAAACAATGACATATGGTATACTTTATTGTATTAAAATATTGGTGTGCAGTTGAGGGTCGACTGACTTGGTTTTTGCCCCTGGGACCAGCCCAATACATGAAGATCTCCACGTGCTCAGAGATGCTGTCGATCGTAGTTCTCAAACCCAAGTGCTTAAAAACAGGGGCCATCAACTCTTCGTTGGTAATCAAGTCTTCACGGGTGATGCTCTTGTTGGGGATAATCGTCAACTTACCCTTTGAAGCCCGGCTGGTCAAGGTATCACTTTTGGACCAGGCTTCAGCCAAAGGTGATGATAGACTCGATAGCGACATTGCAAAGGGACTCTCTAACTAGCCTAGCTCTACCTCCACCTGCAAAATTGCTGCCAGCGGGAGGAATTGGAACATGCTAAGACTATGTCCGTCATGAACGACAAAGATTGGCACCTGAAGTAGTCCAGCTGAAGCAGGATATGGTAGGATCTCATCTGAACATACCTGCCACTGCAGGTATGCCTCCAAAGTCTATGCCTGTAGCGTGCGCAATGCATACATGCTGATGGGCGCACTGGAACGCAGCACAGGGCACAGATGGGCCCAGGGACTCAGGAAAGAGAGCCAAAATGGCTCTATCAGTCCCAAACATCCTCTCAGATGTTGAAAACGCTCGAAGTTTGAGAAAGTGCTCGAGATAGGGGATTTGCGCTACAAGTCCCAAAAAACGCTCACTAAACAAGTAAATGTATCGAATGACCACTTCGCCAAAAATTTTTGTATCAACAGATGCCCCTGGTCGATGCAACGCATGAACGAATTCCACTGTCCGGTGGACCCATTCATCGAGGCGACTTAGACAATCAGGGGCCACCAGCGCCATTGGAGGATCAGCGGCATACTCAGCATCTGCATGCATTACCTGAGGGGGAAGCGAAAGCCAGGATTTCCACGTGCGGCAGCGCTCTGCGATGAAGATGGCTGTACCTGGCATCGGTGCAGGGAGAGACAGAAAAGAGATGCATGTAACAAAATGGCGCGGCAGCCGGCAGCCTTAAATGAGAGTATGTGCAATCCGGGTCGCGGTTCCCGGCGGCCACTCAGCCACTCAAGATCCTGAGCGGCCACTCAAGCAGTCGCAGCAGTATAGTTCTATAATTAGCAGTCGGTGTGGTCGGAGCAGTGGACGTGGTAGTCGTAGTGGTAGTAATAGTAGCAGTGGCAGTAGAGCCACTGTAGGAGGAGGAGGTCGAAAGCTAGCCGAAGCGCACCGGAGGTGTTTGTTTCCGTGCAGCACTTATTGATCTCGTGTACCCATACGGAAAGCCAGGGTTCGAGCTGGATTTCCATGGCACTCAGCTGCAGGGTATAATGTATATTGTTGAAAACAAAAATGACTGTGTCGTTTCTGAAACGGATCCTGCTGCTGTTCCACCACCATTCGCAGTGGGCGCGAAATCAGTCGGCAAGTGAGCTGCAGCACACTAATGATGGTGACCTGCATGCTTCATAAACAGCACTGGGCTGATTGCTCCTTGGAGCACGGGGCCTATTGTTCATTGGGGTGTCAAGTAACAGTTGTCAGCAGCTCTTTCGCGCAATGAGGCTCGGCAAGGCTTTGGCTGCAAAGCACAAGCGCAAACATAGAGCTACGGAGCCCTCACGGGGGAGTCGCATGTGCAGTGCCTGGAACGTCCCTACATCCTAACATCCACCTCGGTATTTTAGCAGACGCTCGCATACTTAGGCACGAACATATAAGGAATAGAGTGTCTTGACGAAATAGCTGGCTTATTGTTTTGCAAATCTGGTGGTTAAATTTACCCTCCGCTTTTGTATGCATTGGGTCGGACATAGAGGTAAGCATTTCTGGCATCACAAGGAATGTACATGCACCAGGCCCTCCGTAGTGCAGGATAAGACTTCGAAAAAGGTATTATAAGTGTCTTGATGAAATAGCTGGTTTAATGTCGTAGCGAATCTGGTGGGTAAATTCACCCCCAGCTTTTGTACGCATTGGGTCGGAAATAAGGGTCAACACATTTCTGGCATCACAAGGATTGTAAATGCACTAGCGTCCGTAGTGCAGGATAAGGCTTCCAAAAAGGTATAAGGAATAGAGTGTCTTGATGAAATAGCTGGCTAATTGTTATGGCAAATCTGGGGGGGTAAAATTTACCTCCGGCTTTTTGCACGCATTGGGTCGAAAATGCGGATATTTCACATTTGTGTATATACTATATAATAACTGTTAGAGAAAGAGGGTGCTTTAGACAAGGAGACAGACTTCAGTTTTTGCGTCGGCTTTGACTCCAATAGAACAGCTGTCCAATTCTACAAGTAAGGATCAGCTACTACCAATACTAGCTCTACTACCACGACTACTCCACACCAGCCACTCAGCCACTGAGGCATTTCTTCCTGTCAGCCACTCAGGCTTTTCTCCCTGTC